TGATCAAAAGAACACCTTGAGTGTCCTTTCTTTGCACCTTCAACTAGGTGAGAGGTTAGCAGCTGCTGATTGATGAAAGAACAACACAATCAATCAAGCTCATATTTCTTCTTCTCCTGTTACTACCCATCCACACCTAGATATCAATTTTCTGCTTACTTTTGATCACTTCCAATGTTAATACTCTGCTATTTCATGCAATCTTCAAATTTTCGGTTCCAAAAAACTTAATTGGTTATCAAAATGTTCTGTTTTTTCTTGAGAGTTCTACTTATATGTGTCTATTTGTGTACATTAAATATATCAAAACTGGGGAATCAAGCATTAGTTGACTTCTCAAAGCTCAGCTGTGGTTTGTTGTATGCAGTGCTTTAAAAGCATTTCTTTGTGTCATTCCAAGTTAAGTTATTATTAAATTTATAGGTTATTATTCAACTTTGGCAGATATAATAGTAAAGTTGTTTTGATAAACAGGTATTTTCAGTTTTATGAGTTTTCAGCTCGTATAAAAGATTAGGTTTTTTGTTGTTGTTTTGTCTTTGAAAATAATCCTGCTAGAGATTCCCACCATACTTTTTTATATATTATTAACTCAGCTGCAAATGATTTTATATATTTTTCCTTTTAAACTTTGGAAGTTATGTTTGCAATGAAATTGTTGTAACATATACTTTTTTAAATTTTCTTTGTCAAATAAAGAATCCAATAGTTCAGGAGAGTTTTGTATTTATGTAAATGAAATGCCCTTCTTTCCATCTAACAGCCTTGTGTTAAATTGCTGTAAATGCTCTGACAGTGAGTGCTACACCCATGTGTATGAAGCTTAATGAACTTTTAAAGTAAATTGTTGCACACTGTGAATCGTCAAAATATGTTAACCTGTAGATTATTCTTGTTAATCAAATCAAAGTTAGGATCATATCTGTTTAGTATTCAATCATTTTTCCGTCCTATTAGTTTATTTTGCAGAAGAACCCTAAAAATATATTGAACCAAGAAACAAGCAATAGAAAAGGTTTTGAAAATACAGGTCATCAGAAAATTTTGGTTGGGAGGATGATAAATTCATGTAAAAAAAGGCAGTACCAATGTAAAACGGGTTTTAGATTAATTCATATATAAAAAGGAAATGATGAAAAGAAAAGTGAGATTTGCTGGCCATTATATGAGAGGAATTTCTTGGCTTGTTCTTAAGGGTATGATATAGGGGAAGCAAAAGCAAAAAAAAGAAAGAAGCATTTGGTAAGCCCATAAGTTGCCTGAGGATAGTTTTAGATGGCATGATTATAACCAACTCTTTATGGAAGACAGTGACTGATGATGAATGAGTTGTGAA